ATACTGCATGTAATCGTATCGCATATGATTACATGCAGAGTGCTGCTTACAGATACAACCTCTGTCACCAGCTGTATCTAAGCAGAATATTTGGGATTCCTGCCACAGGAATCCCAAATCGCGTTCACGCATAATGTGAATAGCCTCGGTTTAAGATTCATATCGGTTTATTGGGACAAATCATGGCAAAGGCAACATTTTTCATGTTTGCTTAAAATCGTTAAACAAGAGTTTCATGCTCCCCCCCCAGAGACCTGATCCAGTCCCCCTTCCCATTTACTTCTGCATAGTAGTGATCTGTTGCTTGCGGTTATGCATGGAAAAGTTAGATCAGCTGTGTCCTGTTTGTCATGGCAGCTAGACTCCTATGAAATAAATGCTGATGGCGTCACAGCCCTTTCCCTTTTGAACAATGCAGAAGCATTGTGTTCTGCTACAGAGCGCTGTTATGGAATAAAAGCTCGGGAGATGATCAATTCAATGACAGCCTGCTGGAGCCGTTCGCAATCAGCAGTGCTCCAGACCTGAACCTAGGCCGAGAATACAGTGGGCCGCACATTAAGCACCAGCAGACCGCTTTTGGACAGTACACCAGATGGATACAATGCATCAGGAGAGCTTAGCGTTCTACTCCCACACTGCATTTTACTGTGGTAATTGATAATTTTGGGCAGCAGTAGGTTGTTTTGCAGAAAAATGCAGGCAACATTCATAGTAATGATTTAAAGACACTGTCGTACAGTAGTAGGAAAAAATCCTGCCCTCCAGCCGTGGTGCAACTACAAATCCCATTAGGTGTTGCAAGACTCTTGACACCCTCAAGCATGACTTCCAGGGGCAGATGCATGATGGTATTTGTAGTTACACCACAGCTGTAGAGCCAGAGTTTTCCTATCCCTGCTGTAGTGTGAGCTGCTGTGTAAAGTTGAGATTTAAAACGGAGCTCCAGCAACATATTTTATTTTTTTAAAGTTTGATTTAAGGAAGGGTTACAACCTCTATAAGGATTCTTTACTATCGTTGTTTTTTTTCGTAAGACTTCTGCTCACTTCAAGTATATCTAAAGCCCTAACTTTTCATAATGTAAAAAAAAAACCCAGTAGGGGAGGGAAAAAAACCACTGTGTGTATAAGCTTTAGTTATACTTTTATTACATAGACGAATGGTAAGCTAGGGGCATGAAAAACAATTGAATTGAATTTGTAACTCTTTCCCATGCAGAATAAAGGTTCTTTTACTTATTTCTGTGTCCCCGGTGGTTGGAACCTCTGGAATACAAATCTTGCAGAGGTTGTTGCCATCCCAGGTCTATCCAGAAGAAAAGAATAGTTTTGTTTGTTTTTTTTCTTTCTCAGAAATAATCAGAACTAAAACAAATATTTTCTCTAAGTCAGAGATATATGAAATATTGCATATTAGTATTATGCATCCTCTGTTTTGATCGTTTCTCTTTAGCAGGCCTGTTGTTCATGGTCCTCAGTAGCTCAAGCTGAAGTTTCCACTCTGAATCAGAGCAATTATTTATCCCTGCACCCCTTCACAGTTCTCCTTAACTGGCTCCATCTGAGGTTTCAATAAGATACATTAGTATGCCTGAAAAGAGTTAACATCTGCCATAGCCTTGTTAATCCTTAGTCAAGTGCAGATGTATTTGCAAAACTGAGCTGGCGAGAGACATAAATTTCCTTTTTATACATTTTGAGCTGATTTGCAACGAGTATACAGACCAGAAAAGTTGTAGAATTGAAGAAAAGCCAGATGTAATTTTTACCATATTTCTAACGTGTTAGGAATTCAGAATATCGAAGCATGTGATTAGCCTGATGGCCAGACAACTAGGATTTTCAATAGATGCACTCAGCAATTTGTAGCTTCTTTCTTTTTCTCTAACAGATCATTTTATTTTAAAAAATCGTAAACCGTATAAATTGGCAGTTAGTTTTACTTTTTTATTTTATTTTATAAAAAGCATTTATTCGTAAATATTTGTGATAAAGCTTTTGATTTTGGATTGGTAATTGACTGAAACTGTTGTATAATTATTGTCAGTAATTAGTATGTTTTTGTAGAGGTGAGGAGTATAATTAATGAACGTGAGAGATCATAGAGTGCTAATATAAAGGCTGGATTGTGTTCTCTTTAGTTGCTCTCTAACAAAGAATACAGTACACCTATCTTCATTTTCTGTGACTTGGAGTATTTCCACTTTTGCAGTCAAATTTGAGAAAACCCCTCCTATATGTTGTGTGTTCCCAATCACACAGCATACCAAAAGATAAGGGCTGCGGAAATTAACGATTAATTTCTCGATTAATCGTTAACATTTTTGATCAATTAAAATTCTTTTGATCAATGAGCGCCATCTGCGGCATTGCTCTATACACATACACCACAGCAATGAAGTAATAAAATGAACTAGGATCAAGGTAATCCAACACATTATTTATCTCAGGTGCCCCACTCAATATGGCCGCCGCTTAAGTGGGGCAACTCAGATGAATAATGTGCTGGAGTACTGTGATCCTAGTTAATTTTATTACTTCATTGCTGTGGTGTATGTGTCCTCCCGTGACCCAAAGCTCATTCTATCGCGAGCTACAGCTCGTGGTATACGGAGATCGCCCCAGCCGGGATGGATCAGGCGTACCCGCCCTCCGTTCCGCCAGTCAGCACTGGAGGATCGGATATGAGAGGGGGAATCCCTGCAGGGAGCCGTGAGTGACAGTCACAGCTCTCTGCAGGGACATGATCCAGAAGTGAGCGAGCGACGGTATGTGTTCGCTCACTTCCCGATTATATTGAGCCAACGTGTGACAGTTTCATTGTCACACGTCGGCTCGAACTATGAGGTTGAGTGAAAATCCCTCACCTCATAGTTCTCTAACATACGATGGAGAAGCCCCTCAAAACCCCTCTGAACATTACAAAAGAAAGATAAGTGAGTAGAAATGTTAATGCTTAAGAAGCCAATAAACCCTAACCCAAGTAAAAGCAATTTAAACTGCAAAAAGCATTTTTAAATATTTTTTTTAGCTAATGCTAAGAACATGTAACAAATAATATAAAATAAGTGTTAACCCAATTTGGCTACAAAGTGGAAATACACTTTTGTGTATGCCTTGCAGAACGGGATACAAATCCTGTGGTTTTGTTTCATCAGTTTGACATCATCTCTGTTGGGCCCCTTTAACACCCAATGTTAGTATATGGGTAGCTGAATCTAAACAGACGTGCATCTGTTTACATTTGATTACCCCCCCCCAACTCCATCTAGGTCCAGAAAACATAACTGAACAGAGTTCCATTTTGTTGGACCTGATTGTGACGGATTGGGGGTAATCCTGATATAAACGGACACGTCCACTTAAATCTGACTCCCCACAAACCTAACATGAGTCTGGTTAGTTCTTTTTTTTCCCCCCTCAATTTTAAGATGGAGGAAAAAAACTGGACAGACATGGATGTCACAACGCTGACATCGGTTCTGTACTGCTCCGATCACGTGTACAGATCCCCGGCTGATTGCAACCGAAAGGGAATGCAATAGCAGCTTGAATAAGGTTGATGCTTTTTAGGAAGTCAAATACGCAGCATCCTGCTCTTCCCTATGGGAGGACCCGACTATGCACACACCAGAGCTGCACATCTGTGCGGGTCCGGGTGTGAGCACTCGGACGCAGACAGAATCCATCCGGACGCGGACACCCGGGCCTGCACGGATGTACAGTTCGAGTGTGGGTATGACGGCGTATGGCTCTGTTCACCCATAGCGAAGATGCTGCGTGCAATCACATGCATTACCTGTCCCTCCCAGGAATAGCCCAATACGGCCATGCACGCCGCACGGATGTGTATTATTATTATTATTATTATTATTATTATTATTATTATTATTATTACATAGTATTTATATAGCGCCAACATTTTGTGCAGCGCTTTACAATATAAGGAAGACATTACAATCACAATACAAGACAAGATGGTAAGGAGGGCCCTGCCCCTGGGGGCTTACAATCTAAAAGGGCAGAGGGAAGTGATACATGAGGAGGTAGCTGTGTGGGGATGAATGGTTTGAGAACGTGATGGTTGACTTTATGCTGTGTGAACGAGGCCTAAATGCACCTCTTGGATCTTTTAAACTGGTATCAAATGCAAGCTGAATTCGCCTGAAAGCAATCTGCATTTGCCCCGACACACTTTTACCAATGCTTGCAGGAGATCAGAATAAACCCTACAGTTTGAGGTGGAACTATTATTTAAAAGGGCAAGTTTATCTAAAAATAAATGCTTGCTGAATAACCTCTTCGTGTAGAATCATGGTGGTTGTTCCCGCTTCTGTTGTTTTTATTTGAAATAGACATGAGACATGATCTCAGATTTCACCAGCAGCGCCAGTTCAAGTCAATACTGTAAAAGCAACTACTATATTCAGCTTCGTGGTGCTCTCTGTGCAATTTTATCTGAAAAGCTGAAATTTGCTGAGATAAGGTGAAGAGTAGCTGAATCAAATCAAGCATGGGAAAACCTCAAAACACTTCCTTGTCTATCCAGACATATGTTTTTTATATGTAGTCTCTTTAAAACGAGCACTATACTCAAAACAAGACATTTTATTTTGTACCTATTGTCTTAAAATGCTACTTAACCTTTTACCATACTTATATGAAAGTAGTTGAAACAGAACTTACTGGGAGGCAAAGATAACTTCCCTCATACAGTAGCACCGCCTCCATCACTTCCCAGTGATGGTAAGGAGCAGACTAGGCAAGATGACATATGGATTATATGACAAATGGATAATCTAAAGGGAACACAGATTAGCAAGTATGCATGCAAAGATACTTAAATACTACTTTAATTTGTTGCTGGTATAGTAATCCTTAATAGCTATCTATCCATACTTCAGTGCATATGTATTTGACTATTTTAACAATAAATTAGTCTTATGACATTTAATTCCTAACCTCATTTATTTTTTCCTCACCCTTTTATGTTCTTAGACGGTTCGTCATGGATTCCCCTTCGAGCCTTCCGCTATGGCATTTGACCCGGTGCAGAAGATTCTTGCAATTGGCACAAACCATGGAGCTCTCAGGCTGTATCCTTTTATTATTATTATTATTATTATTATTATTATTATTATTATCAGTAACATCCAACAAGTCCTGTGCCTGCTTGGAATTTCACCTGCTATGGCTTTTTGAAAGGAGACAGGTATTTCGTGTTCATGTTAAAAAAATGATGTGGTTTTTAATGCATAAACAGTCTCGTTCATTTTTTGTGGTTATGTAGAGCTGAGCAGGATAGGGATGGTGTTCAGTTAAAATATATATGTAAATATGGTCTCCTTCTATACTTGGTCCCCAACTCTGCTCTGCTAACCTATTCAGATCAGTAAAGAGATCTTTTTAAACACTCCAATCTTAATGGAGGACTTCGAATCTGGTCATAGTTAAAGGAGTAGTGAATTGCACTCATCCCCATAGTTAGAGCTGACGTGTGACATTGAAACTGTCACACGTCTGCTGTATTGATCGGTAAGTGAGTGAACACATCGCACCCCTCGCTCACATCCCCATTATCTCCCTGCAGAGAGCGGTGACTATTAGTCACCGCTCCCCCCCCTCCCCTCTCTGATTCTCTAGCACTGACTGGAGGGAGGGATATATGAGGGGGCAGGCACAGCTGGCTCTAGATAGGCAGAGCCCACTGTCATTCAGCCAGCGAGGTGGATCTCAACAGTAACCGTCCCGGCTGCCGCACTCTCAGCATATAGCAGGCAATAGCCCTCTATATGCTGAGTTTTGGGTCACGGGAGGATGTTATTATATGTCCTTCCGTGACCCTAAAGAGAACTGCGGGATAAAAAGGTTATCCCCATAGTTGTCTTTTTAAACAGCATGTATTCTAACCTTTGTCCATCTGAAAAGCCTGAATTAAGTACTCTGTAAGCATTCTGTGTGGTTTGAATTGTGTATCAATATCTGTGTTTTGTAAATGTATATTTATCATATACTGTACATTTTATGCATTAACTATTAATGATAACCTGTATTGGGAACACAAAATATATTATGTATATGTTTTTTGTCCCTGCTTTGACCTATAGAAGTTTTTTTTCCTTCAGTTTCTGTAGGCTTTGGGGTTTGTAGGTGATCCTCCCAGTTACTTTCTTGATGGGCTGAATGCTTGTGTATTTACTTGTATAAAAGATACTTTTAGTGCTTGGAAGGTCTAGCTTTATAATTCAGCCTCCCATTTGTCTACCAGTTCTATCACTCTTTACAGCAACTTTAAATTATTGTACATTTTATTCATTCTAAGCCTTGGTTTGTTCTAAGGCATTCCCTTCCTAGTACCCAAGAGTCTTACCTGGCTGGAGGCTGAAGTCTCCAGCATTGCGCTGAAGGGTGCAGGACTGGATATCCGCTTCCTTTATGCTACCTTGCGATCCTCTCTCTGACTACTAAACTGCCGACAATAGTGGAGCCAACATTACAATTATTGGCTCATTTTCTAGGTTTAAGGACATAGCAGCATTGTGATTTCATTGTCAGAAGTGATGCCATCAAGCAGTGCACTTCCTCACTTTTGGAATGCAGGAGACCTTAAGGATGCTGGATCCAGTTGTGCTGCAATGCTGTCAATGTGAGTTACACTATTGAGGGCTTGTTCTCACAATGTCCGGATCATTAGCAAAACGGCAAAGGTAGGATAACGCTCACAAAAGAGTAGATGACAATGAGCCTTCAAAAACAAAGGTTGATCCTCATTAAAGCAAAGAGCAAAACACAGCATGCGAGAGTTGCACAAATAAACTTCCTGTGTGCCAGCAAAGTATGCCTCAGTTGACACGTTTCCGGGGCCACACCCCCTTCCTCAGAACCTGACCTCCACTTCCTTCACACTGAATTAAGTAGATACAAATTTTATCTACACTAGGAAAGGCGCCCCTTGTTTTTGCTTTTTCCTTAGATATCACAATCTCCCTGACTGATGTGGGGCAGCGACCTGTAGAACTTCTGCATGTTTACCTCTTCAGTGGAGTGGTCACCTCTGGCGCTATTGGTTTTCTATTTAATGTCCGGATCATGTCCAGACCAGAACAATTTGTTCTCGGACCAAAAAAAGGAACCCAATGTATCCCTATGGTCAGGGCTTGAAAAATTTGGCGGTGTCTCACCAGTCAGTCAAAAATGTCACCAGTCAGCATGACCTGACTATAGCCTTGCAATATATGTTAAAAAAATTTGTGGACAGATAGAGGTTCCTTTTGTGACCCCACGGGGGGTTATTTTTTTTTTTTACTATATAATGAAAAAAGTACCATAAATATATATAAAAAAAAGTTTCCATATGTTATAAAACATTTATTACCCATATTTTTGGTAAAACATAAAAGTCGGGGTCACGTCGGGTAAATAGACACCAAACATGTCAAGCCTTAAAACTGCGTGCGCAAAAAAAAAATACTGCTTGTCTAATTTTCTCTCATGGAGGGACGCATGGAAATGCATCAAAAATGCATGCAAACTCACTGGACCGCACCTGGAAGCCCATTTAAGCTTTAAAAAACAAACAAGAAAACGCACGGGAACGAGTAAAAAGTGCAATTCACAGTGTTTCAGATCTGGTCTGGAAAATGGGGTGAACCTGGCCTTAGAGGAGGAGAGTTACTTTTACACAAATCTTTCTTAACCTGAATATTCAAATTGAAATCAAGCAATGTCCTGCAAAACCCCAGGTCATTGTCTTCAAGGGTAGCAGGAATATTGGTTTCAGGCCAGGTCCACACCATTTTCCGGATCAGATCTGGAACGCGGTGCATTGCATTGTTGATGCGTTTTTACCTCGATCTTGCCGTGCTCAGGTTATTTTTTATTTTTACAGCTTAAAATGGGCTTTCAGGTGCATTCTGTGCGTTCCATGCATTTTTGATGCATTTTGTGCGTTCCAGACCAGAAAAAATAAGCCATGCAGTATTTGTTTGGTCTGGAACGGAAAGTGCTGCAAATGTGTGAACTGTAGCCCAGAAATCACATAGGGATACATTAGGATGTGTTTTTGGTCCAGGAGCTAACTGTTCTGGTCTGGACATCGTGTGAACAAGCCCTAAAAGTGTGCTTACTTTTGCTAAGAGAAAGGAGATGTCCAGAAACTTAAAACTAAGGTTAAAAATTACCAGAAGTCTTCATATAAAAGAATTGTCCTCTTTTGCTAAGCTGCTTAGCTATATTTGTATGCACAATGTTGTGAATTAGTATAATTCTGTTTCTCTTTGGGGTATGATTGCACATTTTCAATTTCTACTCAAGTTCCACTGGAGCCTGCAATCTTTGTTGAGCAGGATATGCAGACTAAGGCACTGAAGCCCAATGGTTTAGTTTGTAAGCCATTCTTCCTGATGAACTGGTTTTATAGGTCTTTTGGATGCCTAAATATTTTACTGTCTGCGTGGCGCAGAAATGGTACAATTAAATAAAAAAAATCAGTTATAAAATACAGTTGATATTTATCAAACGGCATAAACAAATGCCTTCCACGGGTCGCCTAATGCAACATCCCAAAAGAAGGACTGAGAGCTCCTAACTTTCTTTTCAGTCTTCAATTGAGAAGTGATGTGATTATGCCACTTCTATGGTTTATGTGCATTGAAAACCCTATGGAGGGGTCTCCCTGGAATTCAACTGACAATTAAGAATTGATGAAGGAGGGATAATTTCATTCTTTTTCTCTCCTTATTTATTTTTAATTTTATTTGCTGCTGGAACTTGGAAGATAAATATTGTTTACCGTAAATTATGCATTTAGTTTGGTTTTTTACATGGTCTGTCTCAGTGTGTTTTTTTTCTTTTTACTCTTTGTGAACATTATGTCTATTTAACTGTTTATGGGACCAATAGTCTGCTTAAACCAGTTCAAAAGGGAGAGAGTGACTAATTGCCTCCCATGGGTGGCAGTTAGGTAGCCCATAGCTTCATTTGCTGAAATATTTTCCTCAGAACTGAGGGTGCTAAAGAGCCCTGTGCTGTTCAGAATCATTCATCAGTAATTTGGGAGGTGTATGCCCTTTTTTGTAAACCCTTTTCAATTAAAATCCCTGAAAGCTCTCTGCCCTTGCCAAGGGAATACATGCCTTGTGTGGTGGGCTGGTTATGTCTGGTGTGCAACCTAGAAGTGCTGAAAGCACAGCCTCCCATATTATACGGAAAGTCAGTACGTTTTTGGTAAATGCAACAATGCAATTTTGCCATCATTGCATATTTTATTTTAAAAATGTGTTCAGTGAATGTGCAGGGATTAGTAAACATGGCTATCCGTTGATTATAAAGATCTTTGCAAGTAGCAAAATGTCCCTGTAACTAAATTCACAGGTAACTTTTTTAATGACCAATGGAAATTGATATTTATATATACTATATTGCCAAAAGTTTGGGATGCCTGCTTTTATATGCACATGAACTTTACTGGCATCCCTGTCTTAGTCTGTAGGGTTCAATATTGAATTGGCCCACCCTTTGCCGCTATAACAGCTTCAACCCTGGGAAGGCTGTTCTCAAGGTTTAGCAGTGTGTCTATGGGAATGTTTGACCATTCTTCCACAAGTGCATTTGTAAGGTCAGGTACTGATGTTGGACGAGAAGGCCTGGCTCGCAGTCTCCGCTCTAATTCTTCCCAAAGATGTTCTATCGGGTTGAGGTCAGGACTCTGTGCAGGCCAGTCAAGTTCCTCCACCCCAAACTTGCTCATCCATGTCTCTATGGACCTTGCTTTGTGCACTGATGCGCAGTCATATTGGAACAGGTAGGGGTCATCCCCAAACTGTTCCCACAAAGTTGGGAGCATGAAATTGTTCAAAATGTCTTGGTATGCTGTTGCCTTAAAAGTTCCCTTCCCTGGACCTAAGTGGCCAAGCCCAACCCCTGAAAAACAACCCCACACCATAATCCCCCTCCGCCAAACTTTACACTTGGCTTGATGCAGTCAGGCAAGTACCGTTCTCCTGGCATCCGCCAAACCGAGACATGTCCATTGGATTGCTAGACAGAGAAGCGTGATTCGTCACTCCAGAGAACATGTCTCCACTTCTCTAGAGTC